TGGCCTAGAAAACCTAGAATCAAAGCAGCAAAGTTTCGAAGCTGCCGAAACAGCAAAGGATTTCAGTTTGATCAGAAGCTGAATTGAACAGGTTAAGGGCATAGGGAGACTAAAACACATGACTGCGCTTAGCCTGCGCATTCGAAACCTCCTCCTCCTCTGCTTCTGACGGCTCTTGCGTGAGAGGATTTCTCTTCACATCTATCCGGAGTCATTAGCTTGAAGGGTCTTTATTGATGAGGACCTCAACTGTGGTTAGCAAAGACCCATCGGCCAATCAATAATTGTCATAGCGTTTACTTATTGTAAGGGGGCGCCTCATTAATCAAGGGCTTGGATTGAGAATCAAGCGTGTTCACCTTTGACGGAGAAAACCGTCTACGACAAGTCCGACAAGTCCAACTGTAGCAGATGCTAACTTGAGCCGAGAAACACTTACCTCTTACGAATTTTAGAAATCATTCAAGAACTTCTGGTCATGCGCCATCCATAAAACTACCAAAGGATAACGCTTAGGTGCCCACCATCCGCAGGAAGAAAATGCCAACACAAGAAAATTGGTGTATGAAGGCGTGCATTTCTCACTCAAACTCTGGCGAAAAGGGTCAGGATGCAGAGGGAGATTTGCAATAGCGGGATTTTGTCCTTCTTTCATAAGATCTGGTTGGTTATGCAGGGAACTCGGGTGGCTGTTAAGTGGAAATGCATACCGGAACCCATGATTCAAAGTCTCGAACTTCATTTTTCCCGCAGAACCTGCAAGCCAGCTGGCAGGCTGTATACCCATGAGCATCACAACTTGAGGCAAGCCTTTTGGTATAACTGCACCTACCAAGCCGCTGTCGAACATCCGCTGACACAGCGCGCTGCCAGCCAGAACCAATAGTCTTTCACCTTGGCGGCAAAGGCCGGGGCCAAAGTCAGCTGCACGGTACAGCATGACAGTGTGATTCAGAATATGAATTTTCTCCAACGCTCTACCCAGTTGAGTCCTATGCGAATGCGTGGCATGCCTTTCAATTTGCTAGGGCCTGTCTCGTGAATTGGATAATGCATCGAGTTGCCACTGCCATGCTCAGTGAGCAGCATAGCGCGCAAAGCATCCCAAGCTGCATAGACTTCCTGGGCATCTGTCTGCATCCGACTGCATCCCTGTACTTCATTTCTGGAATTTAATTTCGACCACTGCTCCGGAATTTTCAGGCAGTTGCAGAACCTCAAGCAAAACACGTCAGCTGTTTACCAGAGTAGCTCAGTCTCGCCTCATGTCCATCAATGAAGTGGCCAGTGAAGGGAGCGATCAGGCAGGTAACAATGTTCTTTGAACTTGTAAGCAGCGCGATCAGCTGGTAGCTCGACGTAAGTGTCGGAGCTAAGGGGGTCAGGATAGTTGTCATGAACAAATCTAGGAAAATTGCAATGCTTACCAGGGTGTCCGTACTCGCGAAGCTCACCACCAGCAGGAAGCATGCGAGGACAATGCCGCCGATCGCAAGGGAGAGCTTCTCTGGGGGCTCCCCCCATCCTTCTAAGGAGGTATGCCACGCGCTCCTGGCTGGTCTGGAACCATCCCGAAGCACTTCAAGTTTCATTCCTGCTTGAAGAGACGAGAAAAATGGCAACAAGTTGTGCTTGCTTGGGATCATGGGAGACAGATCGAAGTGCGTCTGTATGAGCTCTACAGCTGGCATGGCTTCGCTCATGTCAGAGGAACCGAGGCTCTCTGCAGCATCCTGATTTCTTCCCCGACAAAACTCCAAGTCGTTAGGGCACGGAGGAGCTTATGGCTCATGTGCCGACCTAATGTTACTCGTCCTTTCTTGCAATAACTACCTGGCAATCTGTCCCAAACGCAGCACCAGGATCCGGCACCCCACAGGCGTCACTGACGTTTTGGTGCGCCGCTTCTGTCATGGACGCCAGCATGAGAAGCCCGCACAGGACAGCGACGGACATGGCAGCAAAGCTACCGAGTGCCCGCAGCTTCCGGCAAAGCGGGGCGTTGAGACGTTCTATCAACATCTGAGGAGTTGTGGTGGGATGATGAAATTTCTTGGCCACTTCGTGCTCTTCGAGAACATAAGCCTGCATAAAGCTTAGCTGTCCTTTTGGGCAGGCCTGATGGCTACTTCAGTTTGAGATACAATGCCAAGAAGCCTGATCGTATTCTGTTCGGTCTTTGAGCTTTAATGCTACCATCAACACACAGGACTGCTACGTCTTGCGCTAAAACATGCATACCGTCATCCGAGTATGTCCCAACAGCAGAAACTATGAAGGCACTACAGGCCTTTCAGCAGGTCCTCCCCACTCCATCAAAGAAGCTGGCCTGAACGCAGCTTGCCTTCCAGCAACAAGGACATCGAAACTGACTCAGTTGTGTGCGTGCATGCCCGTATTCCTTTCGGGAGTGTGCTGGTCTCACCGCTGGCGGCTGATGTCAAACCACTGAGCCTAGCTCAGAGATCGAAACCATGAAGCAAAACTAGACCAGACTTACTAGACATCCCAACATCTGAACTTCCCAGCGTCTGAAAATTAATCCACGACAGCTTCCCGAAATCCGTTGAAGCCAGGAAAACACTACAAGCTGCACGTGCCGTGCCACGTTTATGACATCTGCTGCTTGCAGGTTTGCAGACCCGTCCAAAATTAAATGCGAGCCTCGCTAGTTTGTCAGCGACAGCCCCACACAAAGCACTGAAAACAAAAACGAGGCTCAAGGTTTGTTGAGGGGGCCAGAAAGCACAAGAAGCTATCAACTACAACATGCATCTGTTTTGTCCTCTCGAGTGCACAGCATCCTGCAGCTTTGGCGCTACCGTTGCACAAGGGCTAGCGCCCATGCAGCACAATCCAGCCGAAGAAGCACATAGCAGGCCCCATGCTTAACGCGCAGCGATGAGGTCCCATCCTACACTGCGAATTGACATTCCGAGGCGGGCTCATTTTTCGAACATGCAACGCAAGGGTTGGGCAGGCTACATGAATCCGCCTCAGGACCTTCGGAGATTAAGTGACCGCGCTGTGCACTACTGACACAGACTTTGAGAAGCAAGACCAAGGCAGCATGATCAACCTTCCTTCAAGCTTTCTACAGGCACAAGTTGGACTACCTACACTAATCAACCTCAGACAACGAACATGCCTTCATATGCACGGGTAAAAGAGCACCTGGAATCACCAAACAAGCAAAGCAGGCCCATCCCTTCTGAATGGACGTTGCCCATAACTTTATGAAATCTTCTGCATGTGCTGAAATCCACACTGCTTCTTTCTGCCACTGACAATGCTTGCAGTGAAATTAGGGGTCAGTGTCCAGTATGGAGGGGAATCACCCAACTGGGCAGGTACAGCAACGCTGGCTACCCACAGAATAGGCCTTGATGCCAGAAATGGATGAACAAACCTACTACACATAGTACACGGCACCCTAGCCTAGGAAAGAACCCTTCTTCGCGAGGTTGCAGAATCTTGCCAGGTGTGACTTTTTCGCCACTTGCTGGAGTGCTCGTATTTTGGAAAGGAAGCGTTCGCAGCTGCAAGATGTTGCAAACGCTGGCAAGATTTGAGCATGGAGTTTGGTAGTACAGCGGTGTCACACCGCGACCAGAACATAGATAACCCGGACTGATGCATTCAAGCCTTGATGACATTGTGTGGGGCTCGTGCTGAGCATTGTCGCTGCCGTAGAGGGAACTCAACAAACCAGTGCCATCCTGCGACCGCGAGATGCATCTTCCTTGGCAGGGCATCTAGCCGAACTGCAGTCCCATTGGTAGCCCTTCCTCAAACCTGCTGCAGTTCTGCATGATTGAAATCGCATCAGGCCGCAAATAGTCTCTGCGCCGGCAACCCACGACACATGAGTATGTTTTTGCAAATCGGGCAGCATATGCATATCTAGGTATATACAATTATGAAGAGCCAGTACTTGGGCAGGAGGGTCGCCAGAGCCGCAATCGCAGTCGTCGCAGCAGGGAACTCTTCACTGCGAGAGGCGGTAGACTAGAATCTTGGTTACTCTCCAGTTTCTCAGATAGAGTTGAAGCTTCTGCTTGTGCAAGGCCCTTCCAGCACACCAGCTTCAAAGCAGGCACAGGGGCCTGCATCATTCATGGAACACGATATGTTTTCAACGGGTTTCTCCTTGCCTTTCGGTCCTTTGTGGGGTCCGTACAAGAATGATCGAACATCCATACTGGAATACCATAAGCCTATACTTCATCCATGTGCGACTCATGCACCTCTGGACAGCATCGGAAGTGAATCGCCCACAATCTTTTGAATTGCATGCCACAGGCAGGTTTAGCAAGCGCATCGTCTACAGTCAGATTCTGCTAAGGAAGAACCATCTAATCAACATCAAGGATCCTAAACGGCTCAGCTTCCGAGAGCATTCCACCGTAGAATGCAACCATCATCCAGTGCCAGAGAAAGACCGCTGCATACGAATGCTGCGACGGCTAGGCAGGCGGAATCAGGCCAAACGGTGCAACTAAACTCCAATTGCAGTTCCAGTTCACTATCTCACTGTGCACAGCATTACACTAGCCATATCTATCCATATTCGAGGTTCTATTCTCTCCCTGGACTGCGCAGACCACAATGCTCTGGATGTGCAAGTTCATGTTGCCTCCTCCTGAACCCAAGTGCCTGCGCTGTGAAAGAAGCTGGCAACGAAGACGCTTTGACGTTTTCAGAGCTTAGTCAGGCCAGACACAAGATTGGTCAACAGACCACATGCACCAGATCTATTGCACCACAATTCAGACCGGTCTTTTAGCCGCCGCTCACCGGGCAATCCTGGCTAACCATGACCCAGGCATTGAGCGCGCAAGAGTAATGCAAGGACAAAAATGAGGAGGAATTTATGTCAAGATTTCACGGCTGTGCCGAGATGGTCTCGCCACCACGCTTACGGTGATGGCTCAAAAATACAGGAACCTTGGCAGAAGGCACAGCAAGAGACTCCCCCCAAAAGTGCCGAGAAATGTAAACTAGCTAATTGAACCGATATCCTCAGATGCAGCACTTCCCTGGGATACATCACCTATGCTGGGGTCCGTATGACATTCGAAGGTCTCCCCCGTCATCTCAGCAAACTTGAGCTTCTGCTCTGCATAGTAAGCCGTCAAAAGGCGCGCGGCATCGTCCGTAAGAGATTGGCATCGGGTCTCCTTGGCTAGTGCTCTACAGATCACGGAACCCAGCCCAAGTCTGTAATCTTCAGGCTCTATTAGTTTAAGAAAGACCTGGTCCAAGTTTCCGGTCAGCGCCAAGATGTGGACCGCATGAGAAGCTCACACTTATTGAAATTGGGGAGTCGGGTGCATGTTGAGCCTTGTGCCAAAACTTGTTCAACTTGCGTTTTGGTCTGGGTTTGCAACAAAAGCCCAAAACTAAGTCAAGAAACTTCCGTGCTAAAATCCTTAATCTGGCTTGTGAGCCCTTGGTGTTCAGATACACAGGATTAAAAAAAATGAAGTGAGAGGTACCCGCCTGAGTGGGAGTCTCTCCTGCAACCCCGAACTGTATCCGCAAGTTTGTGGTTGCAGGGCCGGATTGCCAGAAACAAAAAAGCTACAATGCCTGACCCTTTTCATGCAAACAGGAGGTGCGAGTCCGTAGCGGCAGGAGGCGTGCTCAATCAGAAATGACAGAACTTATGTATTGTCAGCTCGACATGTGAGAGTTCCTAGTCCAATGGATGCGACACTGTCGTTTGATGAGCATATTTCCGTGCAATGCAGGGCTCATTCGCCTGACGGTCTGGGCAGTCTTCCTTGACGGTCTGTGCAGTCAATCTCTGCTTTGCTGTGTGGGTTCATAAGGTCCTGTGGTGTTGGGACTCTTGTTCGCCGTGCGCAAAAAAACTGGTTCTGGGAAGGTGCGTTTGAAGGTTGTCTTGGCCAAAGTCTAGAAGCCCACAGCTGTTGGGTCGAGCAGCAACCTTGGCAAAAATGAGTCCCGTTCTGATTCCAGTTGAGCATAAATAGCCAAGTTTTCCCAAGGAATTGAACCCTTCCAAAATGCATCGAGGTCACCTTTGATACCACAAGCTCCATGACGTCTTCTGGCTGGACGTTGAGCCGAGATGGGAGTTGAATTGTCTCGGCGTCCAACCCAACGAATCGATAGATGCGTCGCATGGTAGCTTCTGTACTGGACACCAAGGCCTTGCTGAAGGACATCGCTAATGCTACACCCCGCCCAACCCCCTCCAGAAGCTTTTGTGTGCGCGAAGTCATGGCTTGCACAATGAACATGAGCATTTTGGGAGTCAATAGGTGAGTGTCTTACCTACAACACCAAAAGCGAGTTCCATCAATTTACACTCCAGAATTTCCAGGTTGTTTTCCCGCGCAGTTTTCAAGTCTGATTCTTCCATTCCAAACCGTCATAACTTTTTCAAGCCGAAGAATGCAAAGTTCCGTACCTACGTGTTGTGGGCCATGACTTATGGAACTCACCGAATCTGAAATGGAGGATTGTCTTCACTAATTCGAAGCATAGGACTTTTGCAAAGCATTACCCTAAATAGTAGTTTCCAATTATATTTTGCATTATCTCAATTTAACCCCAATCTCCCTAAACCTTGTGTGAATCTCTGGCGCGCGCTGTGTAACATGCCCATTTTCCCCATTGGTGAGAGGGTATCTAACTAGTGACACCAGACGCATCCAGACGCCACGTTCCTCTCAATATATCCAATTGCCTCCCATCATTCCCAAATCCCAAGGTTCCCTCGCTTCAGGCCATGAATTGCATCGCTCCGAAATCCCGAAATTCCACTTTGTCTTCTCCTTTCTCTCTCTCTGTCTCTCTCTCTCTCTCTCTCTCTTCGCAGCTTGCACTTTGCATTAGGGGAATTGGAGCGTAGGCCCGTGGGCCTCCACTTGGTAAGTTTGGTCAGCTTCGGGTCGGTACAGCCATTCATCCGTCTTTCTTTGTAGTGATGCCGTTGCACACCTGGATGATATCCTCTGTTCCGGTGTTCCATGTGGAGGTTGCCATGGCAAGCTCGATGCGGATCTCGGAGTTCTTGATGTCCAGCTGGTGTTTCTGTTCGGGGAAGTCGTTGAGCTAGGAGCTGTGCCACCGCCGGTTCACGGTCGCTGTTGAGCACATGTCCCTCGTCCTGAGGTCCCAGGTCTTCTGCCTTTGCGAGCGGGGTTTCATTGGCTCTTACCAAGATGTAGTCGTTTCTTCTACTCCGCTGGGTGGTGTTGTAGCGGTGGTAACTGGACTCGTGTTGGGGTTGACACGGAAAATATAGTTGTTCTCTGTGCACCCACTCCAACATCTGTTGTCCCCGTCCACTTTGTCCACGAACGTCCTGCTCCTGGTTCACGTGGAACGTATCGACAATTTGTCTGGCACCGCCACCGGTCGTGTTCTCCAACAAGATGGTCGCCGCTCTTTCCATCTGTGTAACCCTACATTGCACAAACCCCGGATAGCTGAGCACAACCACACAAGGCTGCCTCTGGCTCCCGGACGCACTGGGGCAACCCGCTCTTAATGGCTGCAGCTTCACACTCCCCCTCACTCAGCACTGTAAGTGGAGAGTGACTTTCAGAACTGCACCCACACTACATACACGTGCCTTCTGCCGATGACCTGCTTTCCTGGCCCCACCCTCGGGGGCAAAGACGGGTAACTGCAGCTTCCGCAGCACCCTGCGATACACTTTCGGGCCCTTGCCCTTTGCAGCCAAGCCCTGCCTGAGACGTCTTCCAGCATCACCGTCCTCCAGAAGGCTTACTTATTCATGGCTCCCGGCAGCGGGCCGGCTACGCAAACCCATCCCCGAAAGGAAGCCCGTACCCGGCGTTAACCAAGGTTTGGGACAACCCCTGGATCAAGGCGCGCCCGTGCTCGACGCTGCACCAAGAGCCCTACAAACTTCCCAGCTCATTTGGCCAGGACCTTTGTCACGAAGTTGCGCAGCACCACGTAACCTTGGGCGCTCACAACCTGTGTAAGCCTACATTTGCCAACCCCGGATAGCTGAGCACAACCACCACCAGGCTGCCTCTGGCTCGGGGGCAACCCGCTCTTAATGGCTGCAGCTTCACACCATTGTTGAGTGGTGTGGTACATGCACCGAGATCAGTTGCCATTTGACGTGCGCAATTGCGTGGGGTCAGCTTGAATGCCACAGTTGTTCTTTTCCGCTGGTCCCAAGTTGCCCATGTCTTTCCTGCTCATAATCGCCTCCGCTTGCCACCCATCTTTATCTCGTCCTATGACCGAGCACCAGTGTTGACTCTCCTGTGCCTTGGTTTCCCCTTAGGGGTTCCTGTGACTTCTACATGGTGCTTCGAGAAAATCATGCATGGCGGCAGTATTGGTCGCTCCCACATTCCAAGTACAGACTACCACGAGCAGCGATAATCTGGAGGCTACAGTAGCGGTCCGTCTAGCTCTGCATCGGAATCCGGGAGTTCCTGGGATGTGGTTGGTTGTCACAGCAGCTGGAGCCTCAGCGGCTCCCACTTCTCCCTGATCTTCTCTTCGGGGGTTGACTTTATGTCCACCCATCCCTCGCCCACCTTGTCGACCGTCTCATTCTTCACGTTGGCTTGGTTCATGCCCGCTCCATGCAGAGCAGACGCGCTTGTTGTCAAGCAAAACCGTCCCTGTAGACATCTCCGCTTCCAGGTTTGGTTTGAAGATCACACCTCCGCATTTGATGGCCAACCTCTTCACTTTCCCTGCAAGTTTGGCCCGCTTCCTCCTCTGCAGCGGCCTGTGATATTGTCAACCAAAGGTTTCGGCGCTCGGCCCCAGGCTTGCCTTCCACGGAAAGCTTCGCGCTTTTAAACCTTTGCACCGTCCTGATGGCCCTGGTTCTTTGATGTTCCACATCTCTCCGCTGCGCATCAGTGGGATCATTGCGGAGCCGTGACTCGCTCATGGGATAAAGATGCCATCGACGTCCACGTCTAGCTGCAACTGCTTGATCACCTTGTGAACTTACTTGCTCGAGGAGTTTGTCTTTCCTCCTTTCCTCCCATCCCCCGATCACCAGGGCTGGGACTCTGTTGTTGTCTTGGGTCAGCGGTTCCGTGCGCAATGTTCCTGCTGTCGACCCCGGTCGTGATAGATTCTGAAAGGACTCCTCAAGGCTCATCATCACATTGTGAACTTATTGGCTCCAGGAGTTCGTCTTTCCTTATTTCCTCTCATACCCCGATCACCAGGGCTGGGACTCTGTTGTTGTTTTGCCCGGTCGTGATAGGTTCTGACAGGACTCCTCAAGGCTCTTCATCCTCGCCGCAAGGTTCTCGTTAATTTCCGCTTGTTTAGCCCTGCATTGGTTTTGTCCTACTCCACCATGTTCAACCTGGCCGTGAGGTCCTCGAGGATTTTGACTGATTGCGTTCATGGCTCGTAAGTTGCTGCTCTATGCCTATCATCCTGGTTGTGACTCCTCCAATTTTTGTCTGCGTGATTCCGCGGGTGGAGGCAAGCATGTCCAGCTCTTGATCTGAGGTGGCCGTGGTCGATGTTGGGACCCTGCAGTCGGCAGTGACGTTGCTGTAGTTCTGGCGCAGCGGTTCACGAGGGTGGACCGAACTCGGGCAGGAAGGCACGTGGTTCTGCAATCAGGTTGTAGGGCTCGCACACTATGCTCGCCGCCATAGGCAGGAATCGCTCAGTATAGCGCGGATTCCTAATGATTTGATCTGAAGGGGCAACGGTTGGTGGGCCTCAAGCCTCTGCTCGCAGCCACTCACCCACTGCCGAGGGAAGAGGGGAACAGCCCTCTCTTCCAAAGGGGCGGTGGAGCGAATACCCCCCGAAAGAGGTAGGCAAAGACTTGAGTCAAAATGCCTACGGTCTCTCTCTCTCTCCCTCTCATACGTGCTCAGGCTACGCATGCCTCTATACTTCGGAGGCATGGAGCCTGAAGTTTGTAGGGCTGGGGAATTTACTCATATGCCACAACCGCGGCAATTCGCAGACATGGAAATATCTGGCCTGAAAACACACACATGCAACTTGGGCCGTGCAAAGGCTGGACGAACAGGATTACCAGGAAGATTACCACCCGCAATTCATTCTAAGGCTGGGCCTTTCAAGCGTAGTCTTCCGATTTCAGCGATCTTCTTAAATATTGGGGCTGGAAAGCAAATTAGAGGCTTAAGGACTTTCCAGGAGTAGGCGGAATTCTAAGCAGGCTCACAATTCATTTTGATTAGATTAAATTCTGGCTGCCGGATATGATGGCAGACCAGCTGTCCCAGTTGAACTCCTTTCGTCTCAAGCTAGGTTATGTAGACTTAGGAACTTTCTAGGAATGCAGCTAGCTTTGCACATGGCTCGGCTCAGGTAACGCGTACTCTAATTGAACCTTACTAGTCTGCAGGCTTACCAGAGCCCTGATACTGAAGACTTCTCTAGAAATGGGCACAATTCCACTTGAATTTAACTAGTTCTGCCTTGGCTGCAATGCAGGATCAGGACCTTGCAGGGAATCCCAATTCAAATAGATACGCGCAACCTGCTTGGTCATAGCTTTATGTTATGTAGGTTGTGCATAATTAGACTCGAGCTCCTGGAAGCTAGTAAAATCCAATCCAGCTTGAGTTGGTGTCGTATGTGACGAATTTTCGGCTGGCTAATTGATACGAAGTTCTCCGCAGAGTCCTCGACATTGTATGTGTGTGCGTGCTACTTGAGAGCCTCCCTGCATGTGCCAGCCTTCTCAGACGTGGGTGCTGACAATTCTTTAGGTAGTAAGGGGTTTAAGCAGAAATGAGTAGCCTCCAACCTCAAAAAATGGGTTCGGGGGTGTGGTCATCTGTGGGTTGTATGTGCATATGTACATTAAATATAGACGCCTTCCATCATCCACCCCCAATCCTTTTCACAGTGACATAAGACATACCTGGAATTCATATAGGCCGGAATCCTGTCCGAGAACGCCTAATTTCATTGTTGATTATGATTGTAGGTAAATATTTAGAAGGAAGTCTTTTGATCAAGACGAGAATCCGGTCGAAAACTGGAAGTTCAAGAATCCAGCATTCTACTATTGAATTAAACTTGACAAGGGGTCATACAGACCGGAACCCTATGGAATACCCGAAAGTGACAAATTCAAGATTACGATCCCGTAGAAGGCAAACACCCCCTCTCGTGGATCATGGGGGGAGCGCGAGCATCTCTGCATATATGTGCACCACTGCATTTTCTGCGCTTGTGCGCGGTAGGCAAACTCATTTGCATAGATAGTGCGCAATCCATTTGACTTTGCAAGTCAAAGCTGCTATGAGTTTTGTCATGACTCACGAACCAATTGCAGTTTCCGATCCGGCTCAAGATTCAGGAGGTATTAAGGGCTCATATCTCTTAGCTCACACGTATCGAGATCAACGCTTTTGAGCCGAGGAACACTGAATGGGATCAACAGCACATTGCCCTGTCCGAATCGAGCTTCGAACTCAGCCAGCACGTCAGCGATTCTCTGTGGTCGCAACATCGAAGAATTCACCCCATGGAAAGCAATGTCCGGTGTGATCCAAACAGACGTAGCTCCCTCGTCCAGGGAGTCAGCCAGCGCATCTAATTCTGCCCAACACGAGGACTGTGCCAATTTTCTTTCCAAGCCGTACATCTGCTGAAAGGTCCAACCGAAATCAAAACGTCCTTTGATGCGTGATCGAAATCTGTACCTTGTCTGCCAGAGCCTACCCGCAAACTAACCAGGGGCCCATCTTACAAGCGCACAAGACAGCAACAGCGGGCAAAAGATCGGCCAAGAGTCATAGACCATGCTGCCTCCACGGGCTCTCGGTATGCAATAATGATCTTGGCATTCGGTGTAAGGCGATGCAAGAGTGCCGATGCAAACTTTGGTGCCACCGCAGCAGTGGGATCCGCATCGAAAGTAAGATGCCCGGAGGGACATTGAATCCAAGTCCTGCTGATGACATCTCTAAAAGGTTTGTTGATACCCGCAGCTCAAGGCGTGACTTCTTCTAACTGACAAGATAAAACTCAAAGCATGGAATGAGAAACGTGGAGCCTAATGTAACAATTCCACACATACTGTGCTCTGACTACGCAACAGGACTCCAAATCGGAACCTCTCTCCTCAAAGCAACCCGTACAAAATATCATCAAAGTGTCCCAGTCTCGCCTCAATATCCACGTGAAACCCTGTGTTGAACCTGCAAAACGCCTTCCAGTAAGGTGGTTTGTTGGATGGGCTTGTCTTTCCCGAACCAGGAAGAGCAATACGATAACTCAGAAAGCTCTTCTAAAGCCCGAGCTGCTGCCGCCTACGCACCTTCAGCACTGAATTGAAAACAAGAGTCGGAAAGAGCGATCGAAGCCGCAAAGATGACAAATACAAGCCGGTCCTCTCCAACTAGGGGCTTGGGGTTTAGGGGTAGCATGGCATGATGGTGGTATCGGTGCTTCATTTGATCAAAAAAATTGGATCTTGTCGTCCTCCCCCAGATGAAGCGCGATTCTTTGTAAGCCGGCAGGACAATGCGTGGGTGCAACGTCAGGTAGTGGTATATGGTACTGGTGCCGCACTTTGGACAACCAACCACGTAGAAATCAGGCAGCCTCCAGACGAGATTGTTTGATTATCTGCTTTATGTCAATACAGCTCCTACGTGCACTTGTGGCCGGTTCGCGACTGCTGGTTGAAGCTTCAGGATTACGTCAGTGCCATCATTTGGCGTCATGCCAAAACTGTTCCACGGTTTAAGACTGGTAAAATGGGTCATGCAGGTGGTCACCACGTGATCCGAAAACCTTGTTGTCATTCTCATCACTTCGTTGGCTGTTACGATGCCTTGAACACATGCAACCCCGGGAACAAGGACAACTCGGTTGTGAGGTACTCTGCCTGGCGTCACCCACCCACCTCACAGGCTGAAACTGGAAACAGTATCATCATCATCATCATCAACATCATCATCATCATCATCATCTCTGTATCTGGATCCCCTGCAAAACCGTATGGAACTCGGGAAATGAGTCCGTTGTCCAGTTGCACTGAAGCTGCCACCCATCAATCCCTGAACGCTTGCCCCAACTCTTTCTGTCAGAGGATTAATGAGAAGACGTTGAGGGAGCGCAGCAAAACCCGATTGCCCCTACAGTCCCGCCATTTCGTCTCTGCAGGTTTGGGTGCTGCCATGTTGGGTCTCTCATCAACCCTATCTGCGTCAGTCTTGTCTTGGGTTCCACGAACCTCCTGATCGGGCTTGTGAGAAGTCCCACGAATCGCTTCAAGGTTTCCCAGTGTACCGTGAAGGTCAGCCAGAGGTTCTTGTACTTTCCTCGATAGCCTTGGACAGTTGCGGTTTTGGGTATACAGCACTGGCCACCAGGTTGCAGGGTAAGGCCATGTTGCTATCTTAAAAGGTCATGAGACGAGCTTCTACAAATTCGGCCACGTTTAAGCAAGACATGAAGAAAAACTCTGCATGACTGGGACACTGACTTTCATGCTCATGTCTGCACTTGCTGACACATTCCCCTGAAGACCTGAGCATGAATGCATATGTTGGAACTACACAGGATGCTATTCGAGCTTAGTGGTGCAATGCTCTTGTGCTGCAAGACAACCACTCGCATCAAAACAAAGTACAGCTACTTTAACAGCCACGTCAGTACCCCACTAGCCAGTGAAAGGCAACTGGAGTTCTGGATTTCTGGATCTCTCAGGCATTCCCTGAAACAAGCGCAGTCTCAAAGTCCACGTACCATCTTGGGGGGCCACCATGACGTGAATGCACTGAGCCTGTCCATTGGAATAGCGAGCCCCCACGTCATACCCCGTACCCTTTATGTGATAGTCCGTTCTGCTGGGATGTGAACTGGGCACATGATACTCTGCGTCCAAGGAGCCTGGGAATGCTCTAAGTTGGCATGCCCATAGCCAAGCGAAGAAATTGACGTAGCCAAGGAGACAAACCAGACCTGAACCATGACTGCTTGGGCTGGGGTTGGTAGGATGCGGTACTAGGGCATGCTAGTCGGGCGGCAAAAGCACAAGGCTGGATTGACACGCAAACCCTCAGCCATAGTTTGGTTGGGATGCTGATTTGACCCCACTTCAGCAAATGTATGAAAATGTATCTGCACATACACTACATTACAATGCTGTGTTGGATGTACTGCAAGCCTCCACCAAGTCCCGCAATTCGGGCGTAGCAGCCGGCTCCGGCAGTCCCATGGCTTTGCGCCCAAAGCAGCATTTGTCAAAGAATCTAGGGTCGCGGCTAGAGCAAAGAACAGCCACCATGACATAACACTTAAACTGGTGCAAAATCCTTCTTGCCAATGATGTCGGGACATATTGGGCCGGGTCCATAGTACGGGGAGTTGAGGAGCAGGCGATCCAATCACATCGCTTAGATTTAGCTTAGACCACTGTGAGTTTCACTGCAAAAAGCATCAGCACCCCAGGAAAGCTGCAACGTGATTTCCGGTCCGTGCACGTCTGTACCAACAGTCCATGCAAGCTCAGCGTGCCAGAACCTCACAAGCCCATCGTGATGAAATCCTACAAAGGCTCTTCTCATGTATACATAGCCTTCTTTCGCGACTCGCTCGTTCACAGCAGGAGGATCTGGGCTTCTCATTCGAGATTGCGCAAGCTTACAGGGTAAGCATCATTGATCTGACATCAGCTTGTCGGAACGTGGGTGGTTGCAGAAACAAAGAGCTCTACATGCCCCGACTGGGGAAAAGACCACCGCAACAGCATGCACACATGAGAAGAACTTGAAGATAACCCGTGGCCCTCAAAGCCTGGGAAGATGTATTCAGAACTCAGGACCGTAAGAGACGAGTCCGCAGTTGGTGCATCAATGCAGGGCATCTTGGATGCAGAACTGGCGATTAGCCACCTGCAGCAAAGGGAGTGAAATACTTTCCTGCTGAAACTTGCCACTGACCTTTTGGCCTGCAGTGAGCGCACTCAATAAGAAATCGTTCCAAACAAGAAATCAGGGGCTGGCCAGACTGGAACCTTGGGCCGAATGTCTTGTCGTGAGCTGTTGGAGGTGCCGGAGAAGGGGTGGAGGGGCTGGAGGGGCTGGAGGGGGTTGGAGGCGTTGGAGGCGTTGGAGGCTGGGGGCTGAGGGGCTGGAGGAGGAAGGGGCTGGAGGCGATAAGGGGCTGGAGGCTCTGGAGCTCCACCGTCAAACCGAACGCAAAGCAAAACGAAGCTCCAGTCCGGCCTTTAGGTTTGCTTTGTGTTTGGTGTGAGTGCTATAAGAATTGGAGGGGCTCCAGTGAAGGGGCTGGAGAGTCTCCAGCTCTCCAACCCCTCCAGCCCCTCCAAGGCCCTTCAGCCCCTCGGCCTTTGTTCGGTGTGAGAGCGATAAGGGGCTGGAGGGGCTGGAGCCTCTCGAGCCCCCTTAAGCTCCAGCGCAGCTGAACCAAATTACTTCTGGATTTTTTTAAAGGGGAGCTGGAGGGGCTGGATTGCCGCTCCAGCCCCTCCCTCCAGCCCCTCGAGCCCCTCGAGCCCCTCCCTCCAGCCCCTCGGCCTTTAGATTTCCTTTGCGTTCGGTGTAAGGGCTGGAGGGGCTGGAGCTTTTCAACCTTATGAAGCCACTCCAGCTCAGCTGAACCGAATTTCTTATCGCTCCCACCTTCAAACCGAAAGCAAAGCAAAAGGGAGCCTTGGTTTGAGTGGGAAGAAATTGAGGAGGGGCTGGGGGGGCTGGAGGGAGGGGCTGGAGGGGCTGGAGGGGCTGAAGGGCTGGAGGGGCTGAGGGGCTGGAGGGGGGCTGGTCAAAGTTTGGGTTGGGATCATATTTTAGAAATCTGTTCAGACCCTGAGCCCATCTTAAATTTCTTCTTTGCAGGGTGCCCCAATAAGAAATTTCCAGGGTCCAATCTCATCTACGCCCGTTTCTTATTGAATGCATTGGCCGTATGGCAAATTGCATCTTGAGAGACAACATCTGGTGTCTGGAAACCAGGTAAGCGCTATCTACACCGATAATGTCAAAACAAATTCACACCCTAGCTGCACAACTTCGAGCTGTGGAGTTCTTGCTCTGCCCATAAAACCAAGGTGATTCTACAAGGCCCATATCTGCAGACCCTGATATGGGTACTTACTACGGTTTTCCTATGTTGTGCAAGGGTTCGAACAATTGAGTCCTGCTATGTTCGTGGTATGCAACAGGCACCCGTGGTCCATGACGAAGGGTCACAACTGCTTAAACAACTAAATGTCAATCTTCAAACATCCTAATTTGGATCTACAAATCCTAATGCAGAGTTCGTGCGTACATCATGTGTGGCTCCTCTGTCCTCAGAGGCCAGTAGTAGATGTCATCCAGCTTTAAAGCTCCGAGTCGACAGGGGGCCCGTCGACTGGAGCATCAGGTGCGGCAGAATGCGATGGATATGTCGATGCTTTCCTGCAACCCAACAAATTCAGCTTCAGCATTTAGAGCCGAACGTTCGTCCCGACTACTTGCAAATTATCACGTGTTGCATGCCACGCGTACAAAGAATTCGGCCTAGAAGTCTTGAGCTTGAGATGCATGACTGAATGTGACTGCGTCATGCCCGGAGGAGTCAGCAACAAGCACTGTTTACACCTGCTCTGTGTCGTATATGGCTCGAATTTGAGACCAAAGTGCCTTGAACGTCCCTCTCGCCCAAACGAGTCGCAATACTTGCAGAAGCCCCTCTTTCCATCCATGTAAAATCCAACAATTGCAAACACTAAGCTTTGGCGGAATTGGCTTGCAAGCATTGAGCTGCTCGAGCCACGATTCCGCACCCGCCTGCAAAGACCGAGAGACGCCGCCACATCGTCTGCAGCGTACATTTGACACAGTGCCAAACCTCTGACGGGGGACGATGCACCTATTTTGTACAAACCTGGACCTTAAACATTGATGTATGAGTCGCTTGTCAAGCAATCTGAGGAAAAAAAACTGCAACTTCCGATATGCCATTGATTATTGTCATTGATTGAGGATGGTCAATGATTCAAAAGGTTCTGCTTTTCCATGCTTTTGCTGCAGAATTCTGCGCTTGGGGGCCGTTTCCACTGTCACACCTCCCCTCCACTCCCTTCCTCTCCCCTCCCTCCCCCCTCAATTGTTCAAACGACATATGGGTGGTTGTCAAAATTAAAGAGAGAGCGTGCGTTTGGGTCCCGACATGAAAAGCAGACAGTCAGACAGTCAGACCGGAAAAGCAGACAGTCAGACACTCAAAATTATGGTCCCTTTCTCGATCCCTATTATAATCCGGCACCTAGTATTTAGGGTCCCCGAGGAGGGACCATAAACAACCACCCATATGGAATTCTGCAAATTTCTGCAAATAGGGGCCATTTGCATTGTTCCTTGGAAATCTTCACCTCCCCTGCTCCCTTCCTCTCCCTCCCCTCAGATTTTCAATCAACAATGTATTCGGGACCGTTTCCACTGTGCTCTGAAAAAGTTCGCCTTCCCTCCCCTCCCCTCTCTCTTTCCCTCCCCCCGTCCGATTTTCAAACGACATTGGTGTTGCTCTGGAATTCGGCGATGAGGGCCGTGTCCAATGTTCTTTGCAGATGTTCACCTCTCCCCTCCCCTCAGATTTCCCAACAGTGTTATGGAATTCTGCGATTAAGGCCCGTTGCAATTTCACCTGCAGTGGTGCTGCTATGGAATTCTACAATTAGAGGCCGTTTCCATCTGTTTCCACTGTTCGTTGAGGATTGTTCACCTCACCTCCCCTCTCTCTCGCCTTTCTCTCCCTCCCCCGTCGTGGTTTTGCTATAAGGAGGCGTATCCACTGAACTTTGAAGATTTTTACCTCCCCTCCCTCTCGCCTTCCTCGCACTTTCCTCTCGCTTCGTTCTCCCCTCCATCAGATGTTCAAACGTTTTGTTATGGAGTTCTGCGATTAGGGGCCGTTTCCACAAGCAGCAAGAGGGAACGAGTTGAGGGTAAGTATTTGTTCTTGTTGTTGTTGTGGTTTCACAAGATGTGTTGCTGATTGAATTTTCTTATTGCCACTTGAAGTGACTCTCTCTTATTGGGAAGATATGAAGGAATATGCTAGCTTACCACAAGAAACCCTGTGTCCCCTTCACAATCAATTGGTGACCCTAGTGTTGACAGTAGACATGGCTGCCTGCATCATCCAGACCACGCTCTGTGTAACTACATACATGCCACAGCTTCACCGGAATTGCAACACGTGTCGCAGCATCATGATCATCATCAACATCAACATCAACAGAAATTCCAGCATGATCATCATCATCATCAACATCATGATGGTTGTCATCGTCATAATAATGCACGGCTCGCGCAATGTGTCGGCACTGAAGACTACGTTGGCCGCGGCGCATGCGGTCATCCCGCGCATCTTGCATGATCAATCAAATTCGCACGCTTTGGCCTCTTATGCCTCTTCCATGGCGCTCCCATAAGCATTGGAAAAGCTTCCTTTAGGAATGGTACATGTTGTGGTACGACATGAATACTGAAAAATTGATGTGTCGTAAAAACAGAATGTACAACAGCAAATACCGCGTTGCCGGATGGCATGCGGGCACAAGGAAAACCTTTCGCAAATAGTGTGTTCATGAACTTAGTGCGTGGCAAAACCTGCAAAAGCTGTGGTGCTGGAAGTTGCGAGTTCAAAATCGGAGGCGTGCGGTCTCATTCTTTGTATGCCGCCGCAGTCCTGTATGACGCTTCTTGTGGTTTGTTCTGAGCTTGGTCGCTTGTCGCATGCTTGTGCAGTAATTACTCACTTGGTGTATGTGCTTGCTTGCTTGCCCTGGTTCTAGCAGTGTCCTCACAGCTGTTCCTCTTGAGACTCTCGAGACTTTGGCTCAGGTGCAAGAAAGCAATCATGATGCAGTTCGTGGACATTCGTGGACCCTGGTAACCAGGCCCTGGTAGCTGCTTTCTTAGATCCTCAAATGCTCTTCAGGTCCTCTTTGCTGGTCTTGAGGTTAACCACCGCTTACGGGGTCGACATCGGCAGAATATGCGGCAAACGTCATTGTGAGGAATACCAGCAAACAAATTGAGTAGTAGGTGGATGTAGCTTTTGAACTGTCTCAAACTTACAATGCCATCTTCAGCCCGGAGCGCCACCATGCCCGACAATGCTGAAGCCGATCCACAGCAAGTACGGGATGACATGGCTGCCTCGCAAGAAAACGTATCTGACTTTAAGGCATAATTTATGGGCCAGAGTGCGGGGGGTTGAGCAAAAC